TATGCTGACAAGTTAACTTAACTATATATTTATAACTAAATATATAATATGTAACTATATATTTGTTTAAATTTTTGCACAGAATTATTTTATACAAATAGTTCAGAGGATTTGATACGAGAAATTTGCTGAAATGCAGATGTAAACTAACCATCTGGCTCTTTAAACTGCAAAACCTTTGAATGATTTTTTACCATTTTGTTTTAAAATGCTTGGGAAAAAAACATTTAAACGGCATAAAGCAATTTTTATTTTTATAATTATTTGAATGTACCTTATCCCTTAATGATATAATTTCCTAAAAGTAAGAATTTAATTTTATCGTGCTTAATTTATTATAAGGTACTAAATCGCAAAACGCGTTGTCTAAAGACCTTTCGTTATCCAATAACAAAATAATCTACCAAAGAACAGAAAATCGAGGGCTCTTCAGTTAACTTCAGTCATGAGAACTTCAACGGAAAGTAAAATACAATTTTTGAGAATTAAAAAGTACGATGAACAAGTTCTCTTTTGAAGGGAAGGAAAAGGGAGGAAGAAAAAGACAAGGTACTTCCTAAAAGAATTAAAGGAAACGTGTCATCAGTGCTAATATAGTTCGTTAAGTTACTTTCGAATGAAAGTATTGGTGACATTTTTAATCATGCAGAGTCATGAGTCCTGTAACAATAATTCTAAAACCATTATTACAGAATAATACTAAATAATTTCCATAATAAAATTCAAATGTTTTAATATACAGTTCTTTGCCCTTTCAAAAATCAAATACTTGTAATTTATCAATCTTTTTTGCAGAAGTTTTTTATAACTTTCCTAATATTTCTATTCCTTTCCTAATATTCTATTCCAGAATATTAAAATTTCCTTTTACAGCTGAATAATTAAAATTTATAGCTCATTATTATTGATAATTTTCTACTCTTCAATAAATGCGAGCTCTGATCATTTGCCCTTTCTGTGGAAAGGTTATAACAAAAAAATCACATCTTGCAGTATGGACTGCTCTGCATTTGTCTAGACGATTTATACGTCATAAAATATTAAGACTCTTGAATAGAAACATATGATTCTTGCTGAGGTTTTGCACTCAAAGGGTAACTTGTAAAATAATCAGCCAAAAGAATGTTACATAATATGGAATTTTCTCATTACAAAGTGATTTAACATGAACAAAATTATGTAATTTATGAAAAGACTCAGAATTAATTCCGTTGTCTTTTAATGGAGTAAAGCATATAGCAAAGAACATAGTTAAATTATCTTTAAATATATTTGAATTATTTGATGTATTGTACATATACATATTAAAAGTAATTATTTCTCATACTAATCACTAAAGTAGATTCTTTCTTTCAAATTCATGCTACTTATTAGATGACTAATCTACATTGTAATTTCTGTAATGTAACGAAAATATTATTAATCTTTCAGTAACCTTATTCCTGTTCATTTGAAATTTCAGTCAGTCTGAAAACTAACAGAGTATTGATATGTTTTATTTATGTTTATAGCATGAATATTTAGTCAGATTATATTAGGTTACTTCGAAATTCAGAACATTTCAGAACTTGTCTAAGAAACGTTCAGTGGAACGTTTTCAAAATTACCACTGTAGAATTATTTAAAATAAAATATGATATAAACACTTTAAAACACCGAATTCGCATTAACTACAACATTTAAGCATGAGTTCTAATATGTCTTTGAGTAAGCCCTCTGTTCGGGGCTATCTGTACGGCTTCAAATCGAGTTCAGTGCTCTCTGAAAAATCGTCGTATTAACACTGCATTTTATAAAGGAGCAAAAACAGAATGCAATGCAAGCTATTGGCTCGTGCGCTTCTGTGATGGCCGAATTGTTCTTTATTCGAACGCATTAAGAATGACATTCATCTGTGGATTACAGCAAACTGAGGCCTAATTGTGTATGTCATTGCAAAAACTGTAGAAATAAATACTCAACATTAATATAATTGACTCTCTAATCTCATGCATCTGACTTGCGCAGCAAGCTTCAGCAATGAGACGGTCCACTGCGGGGGGGAAATGGGACAGTTCTATACCTCCCGTTCTACTGGGCCCGATTGACAAAATTCAAATTTCCTTTTTCATTAAGACACAATAACACGCCGAACAAATACTAATTCAGAAGTCAAACAACAAACCCTGTTTGAAGGTAATATAGATGATTTAAATAAAGTTCTATCAACAATGAATTCTATTGATCCTGCTATTCAGTTCACTTTTGAACTTGAGACTTGCAATTCTCTTCCGTTTCTCGACATTCTGGTCACACGTAACACATCCAACTTCAGTACTACGGTTTACCAGAAACCTTCATCGTTTTGCCTTCCAGCACACTTTAAATCATGTCATCCGACTAAACAAAAGTTAGCTTCATTTTATTCCTATGTTTTCCGTGCTCTTCAAGTTTGCTCCTCCAAACTATCCCTTGATGAAGAACTAAATTATTTAAAAGCAATAGCTGTTGACAGGGGCTTTTCACCCAACATTATTAATCAAGCAGTTAAAAAATTCTCATCTCAACGCACTAAAAGGCACACTCTTGTTTTAGGAGATTATAAAAATTCTGTTGTCATTCCCTTCTTTCCATCAATTAGCTATAAAGTTGCAGATATTTTGCAGAAATTTAACTTTCGGGTCGTTTATTCTCCCATCAATAAAATTCCGAGTTCCATACTCAAGGAACTCATTCCGGATATGAATTCCTGGGGCATTTATAGGATTCCTTGCGAGTGTGGTTTAATTTACATTGGCCAAACTAAGAGAGCCTTAAAATTTAGCGTCAAGGAACATGAGGCATATGTTAGAAAAACGGAAACACAGAAGTCTTCTGTTGCTCATCATTGTTGGTCCGAAAATCACACTTTCAATTTTTTTTTCTGCTGCCCAAAATTATTCAAAAAAAAACATCTTCCATTGGAGAACTAGATTTTCTAGAGGCATTTCACATTCAAAAAAATCTTTCTGTACTAGTTAACGATCCTAATTCCAATCCATCTTTGCCTTCGGCCTTTAAGGAAATTATGTTTTAGTTCTGGTTTCATCAACAGATGGCGCCACTAGCTTATTTTCTGTCCGGGCTTTCTTATCTGATCTGATCATTAGATCCTATCTTGTTCATTTGCGCTTTTGCAGCTGACGAAGGTGGTTCGGTAAAACCATCGAAACTAGTCCTGTGAAAATTTGAAAATATAACGCTGATTTTTGTTGTTTGACTTCTGAATTCCTTTTTCATGTCTTGAAAGCGCGACTTAGGATATATATTAGATTTATATATAGCATTGTTCTAACATAGGTATTTTGGCACCAAATCAAAATCGGACTTTTTCTGAAATAACATACCAATTTTTTCAATATTTCGATTCTGCGACTCAAATTATGTCTAGATATTAAATTTTGTAAACTTTGGTGCGAAATTTACGGAGAAATTCAAACATTCATCTTGGCACAATTTTTTCAAGTTTGCGCCAAAAATAATTCACTTGGCGAATCTCTGGATATGTGGCAACCAATTTTCTTTTCCCTTCCATTATGCTGCAGCGGAAAAAAAGTCACGTCGTTCCAACCTTTTTACATTGTGCATGAGCGGGGAAAAGGCCACTGCGTTTCTACTTCCAAATAATTTTAGCATAGTGTCTTAACCACATTTGATGTTTTATCACTTTCAACAAATATTCCAAATTTTAAAACGCGCCAATATATAAATTCACGTATATCTTCGGAAATTTTGAATAAAATTTTGAATAAATTTTTTGCAGGTATGCTTAGAAATACATCTACTTTAAGATGATGGTAAAAATTTTATAGGTTATATTTCAAAGTTTTTTTGAAAAATTTATAAAATTATTTTAAAATACAAATTTTAAAAATAAAATAATTAAAAAATGGATGAGTTTTATTTTGAATGAACCTAAATTTCTAAATGTGAAAGGAAGAATCAAATAAGTGTAGCAAAAAACGAGAGATGAATAAATATATACTAAACTCAATTAACATTGAGGAGCTAAAATTTTGAGAGCTCATTTTTTAAAAACTATTCGTACGATTTTTACAAAACTTGGTAGTTTGGCGTAGTTTGAGTTGTAGAATTGAAATATGGAAAAAACTTTGGCATGTCATTTCAACATGAAAAACGCAAGTTGAATTTCTTCAGTCGGTCCAGTAGAACGGAAGATATAGAGAACTGTCCTTCCCCCCCCCGCAGTGTGCATCCACTGATTATCGGCACCGGTAACAGAAGCCTATACTTCTTTGTTGGGACCGCAGCACCAACAACTGAATAAATGCTGTCATCACAAGAAATGAAGAATTGTGAAGATATCTCTGCATTAACTGAAGTTTATACGAACGTGAGTGAAGTCGTAGGTCCGAGATCTAATTACGCTACGTTTGTCAGCTAACGAGACAGGTGGTTTCCAAGGAATTTGTGATTGTCAGGCGATTGAGCCTCATTAATGGTTTTAACTTGGATTTCATTTCTGAGGTCATGTTCCCAGCGACTGTCTTTACATACTAATTCGAAACACACCTATTAAGCAAAGTAAAATCGTTTCGGGGATGCCAACTACTGTTTTGATTAGAATTATTAGAAAGCAAGGGAAGAAACAAGTCCTTGAATTAAGAAAACTTTGAGTCCTTGAATTAAGAAAACTTAGGATCCTTAAGTATATAGCTCATCCGTAAATCATACATTAACAATAATAATGTAGCTAAATAGGAGGAAATTAAACGTATATATACAATACATAATTACATTAATAATATGTAATAATAATATAAAAATGAATTTAGGCTTGATAATTGATGCAGAAAAGATATGTTAGAAGTCTTTGTATCAAAAGCTCTTGAAGGCCAGAATTAATATGTACTTTTGAATAATTCATGTTTAAATTAAAAATAAATGTAAATGCAGTAAAATGATTATTGTACTGCACTTATTCTGTTACTGTTATTCTTAAAATATTACTGTACTTTCAGGTCATCATTGCCCCTCCAACGACACCTCTTCCCGCGGCGTAGCTGTCCTGTTTGTCGAAAATGGTCAAACACTGCCACGTAAGACAAGAAAAGTGGTGAACGAATTTTTTTTCCTTTAATATGTCTCATTATAAAAATCTATAAAATGTTCAATTCAAATGCAAATTTACTTCTTTTGTTTTTAAATTTACAACATAGCATTACCTAAATTTAGTATTAGCATGCTTGAAAACATTAATTAAACTTCAAACTTTATTATACCCAAACTTCATGTACTGCATCTAGAAGAGAAAATGATATGTAATATAAACTGTGGAAAGTTATTTCAAGGATCACCGAAATGTTGCGTGCATGAAACCCATTAGGAAATTGTCTAGAACAGGATAAGTGTTGAGAATCTTTGTTGCAACTCTTATGAAATAATGAACATATAATATTCATTATTTCATAAGAGGCAAAAGGGTTTATATTTCACTTGGTATATAGCAGTTGGCTAATTAGTTGTAATATACGATATTTCAAAACTTTTTCGAAAAACATTAAAATGAGTATTTTTTCGGCAAAATTAATGTCAGCTAACACTGCTCCTTTTTCGTCATATGTGCTTTGCTTTAGCAGTATTTCTAATCTTTTAATCTTTCTTTACAATTAAAAATATGCTGGCTGCCGATTTGTTTGGCAAACCATATCCTATCCTATACTGCAATAAAGTTATCTCTACGATGTAGTATATAAATGACACAGAAATGCTATCAAAGTATCAGGGTTGCAGCTTTTCAGTTCACCACATTTTGAAGATGTAGAAAGAGCTGGCTTGTAGAAATAATTTTTAGTACTAAATGTGAAACCATCTTGAAAATAGAGGAAAAAAAGAAAATATGGAAAATATATAAATGTTTCGATATATTAACATTATAAATATACACTTGTGGATTTGGATAGTGCCACTGAGAAACTCATACATACCATGAAGGACGTCTGTAAACGAGGCATATAAACTTAAACGAGCTAAAACCATACCTCAAGTGCAACTGGTGAAACACCTCTCTGGCAATCAACCATCAAACAATTCAAGAACTCAGAAGGCGTTTTCAATCACATCAAGACCCCGAAAAAAGTGTAAAAAGATGTATCATATTTAAAAGGGAAAGAGCGGCTTGCAAAAGAGCCATTCAGACGCAAAATATCCGTCATGGAAATCCTTTTGCACAAGTCAACAATCAAAGCAGATCTTAGTACGCATCACATCCACATTCCAAATCCAGTCTCTCACCTGAAACACGAGACAATTGTTCTGATTATATCAGAATGGCAAGAGAATTGGAACAGCACGGATGGAGATCGAGAGACCTATAAATATTTTCTGAAGTCTCTACCGAAATCAAGATTAATTGCAGCTATGCTACACAGCTATACACAGTTCATTGTTTCACCTCTGCATATCTATACAGATTTGGCAAAAGAGAAAGAGACATGTGCTACTGTGGTATTAAGAGCGAGCTTAGCCACTACTTATACGTTTATCACAAGACAACACTGGAGAACTTGTATTAAAAATCGCGTACCCAATCGATATCAGTCTCGTGTCAAGACTCAGACAGTTAAATATACCAACCCCCCGCATAGGAACATGAGAAACATTTAGACAAGATGGCAGCTCTCTTGAAACAGGGTACGAAGCAAAACCAGAAAATCGTTGTTAGATTTTTTACTAAGCGAAAGAATAAAAGTGATACAGTTTCACAGTCGATGAGAATTCAGTGCAATGACAGGTTAGGTTAGGTTAGGTTATTTAATTACGGCAAAGCCTCGAGGGCTATCTGCCTAAGGGGAGGGATGCCTTCGTGGAGGACTTGATAGCAATGACTGGTGTCTGAATTGTGTATGTACGTGAGTGTACGAATCGATTAAGAAGATAAAAACTGACATCACTCTATGGAAGATACTGTTTGCCTGTATTCAGCTATTACGGAAGGCAACAAAACAACTGCGAGAACGTGATACAGGAAACCTGCCGGATGATAGTCAGGAAAATGGCATCATTATTGGACATTAATGTTGGATAAGCCCATCACATCACAGTGAGGTGAAATTCTACAAAGATGGGCACTGAAGGGAAACCTGAAAGGAAATAAAAACGTAAGATGCTTTCTCAGAGTTTTATCGGTGTAAGGTGATGAAGCATTTTTGCAACATATCTTCCTAAAGATCAGAATACACTTCTGAGTGGAACGATGTTTCGTGATGAAAATGAGGTTTGTTTGGCAGCGCTAGAGTAAGAGAGTACCCATCAGAAAGAATTCATTGCCGGCGGTATATTTATGCCTTTTTTCAGTTCTGGCATTAAACGCACTGAATTATTAGACAGGGATTATACTGAAAAGTGATGATATAATTATTTTATTATTTGGAAAAAAATATTTAAATATAAAAATTACAATTTTCTATTAAACACAACAATATTAAGGTAATTTCTAGTGTGATCCAGTTATAACAGAAATAACTGTAACTCTGTGAAAGGGTGAAAGGAAGGAGGCGTTGCAGTTTAAACTTTCGAAGAATCTCTGCTATGATGTTTAAAATAATTTAAATAATAACCGTGCATAGATATTTTCTTAATTCTTTAAACTGCACTTAAACATGGCTGTACACATCTTTTTCTTTAATTTTTATTTGTGCTAATTATTTCCCGCTTTTTATTTTTCAGATGAAAACGTGAAGTTGCAGTGCTGGACACTGTTGTGTGTTAGCAGGTATATGTTTGTTGAATTGATGGTGCAAGACAAAGGTGGCCGAAAAGTTTGAACTCGCCATCTGAATTGTTAGAGAATTTTCTCATCATCAGAGTCGACAGTCTTGGTTTAGAACTGAACATTTGTGTCTCTCAGGTCTCAGTCCAGGATAAGAATGTGGGGGTAGAAGACTAGAAAAAAAAAACAGTTACTGTGCACTTTGTATCGTGAAAAATGTACTCATAGTTTGATCATGTGGAGCCAGGATTCGACATTGTTTTGTATGAAGCGAAAAGGCATTTTATTATCGCCAGTAGAGCATCGGTTATCTAATTTCAGTTAATTTCTTAAATTACCGATTATTTAAACTACCGTGTCACTGACAAAGCTAAGAAAATATTTATTTTCAGCAACATTTCAGCATACTTCGTTTTATCCTCCATCGCTAATGAAATTCCAGCTGCTTTGTGGATGTCGAAAATTCGTGTAAAGCAATTTTTCTATTTCTGCATTTCTGAGAGAAGTCCGGTAAAGTAAGCACTTAAAAACAACTCGTCGATGTTTTTTAAATCTTCAGATTTTCAGTACATCAATGGTATCTATATGTTTACTGATTTAGTGACAAACGTTTGTAATTAGATTATATTCATTTGAAAACAAATCTGTTTTTCAAACACATGGATTTCGAGCAGAAACAAGCAAGACTGCCTTGATGAAAATATTCTAAAAAGCTGTATAATATACTGAAAATGTGGAAATTAACGATAAATAAAATATGAAAATAACAAATTTCGCCAAAACTAGGTTGACTTCAGTAGTTTTTATAATTCTACAATTATACGGTTTTTATGTATAACGTTTTAATTAAGTGAAACAAATCTTTGTGATTTATTGGTAATAAACTTGTTTTCTTCTGCTATGTTTTAAAAAACTTAAATAGGATTGAATAATGTAAAGATTTTGCTGGTATCCGGAAAATTCCTAATGGAGTTTTATGACTAGGATTTATATTCAATTAAGTGTCTAAAATTACATAAAATTTATGAATTTGACATTATTTGAAATTAACTATTTGTTTTGCTTTCTCCAGCTATATATTAAACATTGTAATTGTTCCCCCCAATAAAATTCATATTTGATAGCTTTAAAATACAAGTAGATCTTTTTGTTAGCTAATACAAAGGCCCTGAAATGCGTAAATACGCATTGTCAACACAATTTAAATAAATTGCACTGGTAGAGATGCTAATATAAAATTCTGTCGCAAGATAATATTTCACTAATTCATATTTACTTTTAGATTTATGCAGCTACCTTTTTGTATGAATCCCACTTGTATGAATTATTTAAATTTTAACTTTAAGGTCCATTATGAATGGATAAACGATGCTCTACATAAATTTCCTTGCACTAGATCAACCGGAGAACTTTTATATTATAAGTTAATTCTGAAGTTTGAAAACAATTTGAAAACAAAAGGCAGACATAATCGTGTTCTTAATAATGTCTTCACATTAAATGATTGAATTACTTTTTTCCATAATTGATTATCTTACTTCTTTCTGTTATGCGATCAAAATTAAACAATTTTTTAATCGACAAAATATAAAGGCTCAAAAACGTTTTCCATTTCCATTTTCTCTTGTTTAAAAAATGAATTATTTGTTCAAAGTTAACCTTTTTATAGCCTTTATTTTATTCTCCCCAATTTCTGTGTGTATGTGTTTTGTTTTTGTTTTAAGAAAGTTGCATTCGAGTAATAGCTCTGAGAGTTTCAATATATGATGGTTTAATATTTTACCTTAAATATTCAGCTGATTTCCTTATGTTTTAAATGGATGAAAGTTATTTAAATAATTTTAACCATTCTAATCTATTAACGTTATTAGATTAATTTAAATAGTATTTTTAATATTTTTATCTCTTATAATATATATGACAGATCTTTGAATTTCTTTTATCTTCTTTCAAGTCACGTAGAAATAAAGAAAACAATTTTTATGTCTATCAAAACGTCGTTTATAAGACTGAATATTGTGATATAAAAAATTTATTTGAGGTTATGAAAAGGAGGATTATTTATACAATTAATCTTAAAAACTAGATCTTTAGATTAAAACTATAATCTTAAGAGGAAGGAATAAAATTAAAGTTTACATTTGCTTCTGTCTTGGTTAAAAGTTGTTACCGGTGATCTATGCAAGAAATTAAACGATACTCAATCTTGTCAGATGAAAGAACTTTTTTTACTCTAAGCTAACTAAAGTTTTAAGAAATATGGTTTTCAAACTGAACTTGTCGTCATCTTTAGTTCCGCACAAAACAAGGCAGAAGTTCCCTTTTTAATAAAATCAGACTAAGCAATTGTACTATTGGAATTTGAGTGGAATTAATTTTTAATGTCGTATGAAAATTATTAATCAGAAAGCATTTCTGTATAAATCATCTGTGAAAACTTCTGATAAATGTGCTAATTGTAAATTATACTTGTATTTTTTCTTTCATATCTGTGCTTTTTAGAGTATTTGTTTGAAAGCCATTCTCCTTTCAGCTTTAGATGAATAAGACTGTCGTTTGTTAAATCATGTGGAGTTGTCATATAGTCCATGGCTTCACCCAAATCATAAACAGTTTGTTCACTATTATTTTAAAATTTCTGCGTTTAGACGATCCAGTTAATAGCTTTGCTTCTCTTGTCGAAGCGAAAGTTTTATCTTTTAGCTTTCTAGTTTCAAGATTCAATGATATTTGTGGTTTCTTTGCTTTATTTATTCGTACCAAAATTTTCTCTTTTCGCATAATTACGAAAGGTAAATAAATAAATAAAATGAGTTTTTCTTAATAAACAGCCTTTATTGTTACAATGTATAACCTTCAGCAAATTTAGTGCTACATGAAAGAATGCGTTTTATTATCATACTTTTTGCCACTTTATACATTTTTGCCATCAGTAAAAGCAATTTTAAAATATTTTCCATTTAAAATATATACTGCTTTTAAAAAATTATTTTATTCCTTCTTCATTTTTCGAAAATATACTGTAACTATTACCTTTAAAATTTCTGAACCTTAAATTCGAAACTTTTACTCAGACATAAAACTTTAAAAAAATTTAAAATAAATTTTCGGAAACTTTTAACACACTTAAACATCCTTTGGGTTTTCAAGAAGATAATAAGGATTATCATTTTGTATTTCACTTTCAACTCTCTAATAATAGCCTAAGCGAATCGCCTAAAAGATCTGTATAACTTTCTTTTGGATAAAGTGTAATACAGCAAGCTTCACTTTTCATCGGTTTTTACATAATTGTATGTTATTAAAGTTCATGAAATGAGGAGTAACAAAATTAGTTTTCACAACATAAATTTCGAGAACATAAGGGTATATTCTCTAACTCAAAAGAATAAAACGGGATGAATTAGTCCCTCTGAATTCAAATACTTTTCAAGTTAATAATCTCTTTGATGTTTATCATAGTTTCATGTTTAAAATTTAAGCACAGATATATTTTTTTACATTGAATGGGAAATTAAGAAGCATTGTATGAATTATTCAGTTTTAAATTACAGTAAATGGGAATGACTAGAAAATTCTTCGAGCAGTTAAGATGAAAATATTTTGTTTCTTAAGTCTTAATGATATACTAAATTTTCTTTTTCTGGTACAAACTGTGCTGAATTTAGTGAAGCCATGCTTAGAAATGTCCTCTGTTATCTTATTTGGGTGTTTTTTGTCCTGAATACTTTGTCATTTTTAATTTATTGAAAAAAGGATACATTTATTCTGCGTTACAAGCATCTATGTTTTACTCTAAGACGTCATTATTTGTTCACCTTTGTATATCTAGAACTGCACAATAAACGTTTTTTGTAACAACACTTAGTTGTACAGTAATTTTTTACGATTGATGAGCATTTTACTTTCCTTCATAATTCCTGAAATATTAATGTCACTTTTATTTAGACTGCGATAAACATGGAATGTTATGAGACATTTCCAGCAAATAAGAAATTGACGTCATTGGAGAAACCCGAAGTAGCAAAAAATGGTGTTAAAATTTATGTATTCCATGAAAAGCCAAATTTGTATTTCACCATGATCACAGAAGCTTTTTTTTTTTTTTTTTTTTCCTTTTCATTCTATACTGAGAAGGAACTCATGTTTCCGCACGTTACTGAAACAAAGCAAAAATTAGGTTCATCTTAATAAAACCTTTAATAACATTAATAAATTTTATTTAGACTTTTTAAAATACAAACGTACAATTACTCCAACTTACTCAAACCTACAGTTTTTCATATCATCCTTAGAACATTCTTCTGAAGTCGTCATTCTAGCAAAGCTTAATTCTATTTCCTTGATATGTGACTACCGAACTTTATTTTCCTTTATCTGCGAAAGTCGTTTTAATTTTATAGTTCACAGAATTGTATATGTCTCTCCTACAGTAGCACATCTGTCGCTTTAAGGGATGATGTTGATAATCTGAAATATGTTACTTATTCAAAAGAAAGAAACAATGAGAACAGGGCGAATGCTCATAGGAATGTTCCAATGAACAAGAAAATTAGACACATTATCTAATGTTATACACATTGTAATGAAATTACACGCATTACTGTGTTATAAACAAGAAGGCCCACCAGCGGCCGAAGGTAAAGTCGCTGAACACTGGTAGTTCGGTCCGAGGGATCGAATCCCGCGAACGAGCTGGCTGCATGAGCGTTTTCGTGGTTTCCCCCATGTGTAACGTGTATACGAACCAGTTTCCCTTAGAAAGTCCTCCACGAAGGCATCTCTCCCGTTAGGCAGATAGCCCTCGAGGCTTGCCATAATCTCACACACACAATAATTTGTTATAAACAAGACAGCATAAGAAATAAAATAAAATACCAAAATGAGTACAGAGAAAACAAAAGTATGATAATAATAACAGATAGAAATACCTTTCATCCTCTACAATAATATAAATATTAACTTTACAGCAATGTTTAGGAAGAATTCATGTTGGATCCTCGATATCTAATTTGGATAATGCGTCAGCATTTTCATGAGTTTTACCCTTAAGACATAAAACAGTCATGTTTGCAATGCTCAAAATCCCATCTTGACAATTTAGCTTCATGATGCGCACTACGGGTTAAATATTCCAAAAGTTTGCGGTAGGAAATGATTTGCAATTGAGCTCCGAAAACTCAAGTATCAAACTTTTTCAGAACACACACGAGCGTTCAGTTGTAGACCATTTCATTTATCCTGTACTGAGTTTCTTGCTAAAAAAATTGAAATTGGAATTCCTTTTCTATTGTCTTTTTTCGGGGAAGGTTAAGCAAGCACCTATGACGGTTGCAGAAGCATCTGTATAAAGCTGAAGTGGGCGGTCCATGTTCAAAATATACAAAGTCAGCATTTCCATTAATTCGGCTTTGATTTTCAAAAATACATTTTATAATTTTCAATCCCAAGGAATACCGTTAAGTATTTTCTTTTCGGTTAGATTCAACGACGGGAATGTTATCTGAAAGAAATTTGAAATGTAATCTCAGTAGCAACTAGCAAGTTTTAAAAGAATTCGAACTTCCGTCTTTGAAGGTATCTCAAAATTCCGAATAGCTTCAACTTTCTGAGGGTCTAGGGAATGTTAACCATATCCCACAATATGCTCGAAGAATTTCACTTTATCTTTTCCAGAGTCACATTTGTTCAAATTCACAATAAGTCCAAATTTGGGTAGCGTTTGGTAAACTTAGTCTGTGTGATAACGATAGTCACTCTACGGGTCAGAATAAATAGCACCGTCAATATAGGAAAGACAGTATTTCTTGCGTGGTGCCAGTATTTTATCCATAAACTTTTGTAACGTATTTTCAGCACTTTTCATACCAAAAGGTAAAATTCTCCATTAGCAATGTCCAGAATGTATTAATATAATAAGAAAGTTGATGCTTCTTCTCTGTTTCCCTCGACCTCCTTCAAATCTCGCTGTTTTTCTGGAGTTGAGTGAATAATGGCTCTGAATCTGTGTGATAACGATACTGTCTTTGGCTGATGCAGCTTTATTTTCAGAGCGGGACAGAACCAGCCCAGCTACTATCTTAGCTTTTCAAAATCGTATTTTTCTCATCTGAATCTTTATTATTTTTATCATCGTTCAAGTCAATTACCTCTTATTCATCCAAGAAATATTTTTTAGTTTTTTATTTGTTTTAGGAACGTGTAGTTGTATATCTTCCTAGGATATATTCATAACTAAATCTTCACGTATTACCGAAATTTGCTCCTGAGTACTCAGGGTGACTATAATTAAAGTTGTGATTTCAAAATGCTCTAACTTTAAAACTACTTGTCAGTATGACTTGATATTTTACAAGAACAATCGAGAGGCAATAGAATTTCGTTTGGTGATGGAAAAAAATAGTTTCAAAATATACCGATAGATGGCGCTGTCAAGATTCATATTGCTGTTGGTATGCAACTTACTAAAGCGTAAAATGCGCAGTGCAGACATGGCTAAGATAAAAATTCCGAACACTAAGGACACACATAACATTTGCCTGAGTCACATAACACGTAACATCATGATTCTGACGCAGAAGGATCGTGCTCTTCTCGTGAAGCTTTCCTATCAGAATGGTTACTGTACGTTAACAGCTTTCAGAAAGTTCCGGATATTAAAAGGCATAAAATCCGGCCCAGTGACCACATATGGTTTACGGAAAATGATAGATAAATTTAATCCTGCTGACCTAGAAACCTGAATCGTTTGCACTACAATTTCTTGCCCGTGTGGAAGTGGGTAATGAATGGCCTTGGAATATTCTGTGGTCTGACGAAACTCATTTCCATCTGCAAAATTCTGTAAATACGCAAAATTGCAGGATGTGGGCGACCTAGAATCCGTTCTCGCTACAGCCATTATCTCTTTACGCTGAAAAGGTCATTGTATGCTGTGGAATAACGGCAGGGTTTGTCATCGATCCGTGCTTCTTCGAGGAAATCACCCCTGCGGGTCCCGTTACCTGCGCAGTTACTGGCAAGCGGTATGAAGCACTTTTACGTAACCATGTCTTTCCGGCACTTCAGCAACGTCAATGTGTGAATCGCACTATAGTCATGCAAGATGGCGCTCCTCCGAACACTGCTGCTCTTGTGAAGCTGCTGCTGATCACTCATTTCGGAGATGATAGAATCATAAGCCGCCATTTTCCGACAGCGTGGCCGTCACGCTCTCCCGACTTAAACCCGTAAACTTAAATCCTGGGCTTTGGGATATCTGATAAATATTGTTTACAGACGGCGGATTGTGAATATGACCCACGCACCACATTCATCGCATCAGCACAGGGTTGGAATATGCAGTTTTGTGCTCCCAGTTAGCAGCGGAACAAGGAGGAGAGCATTTCGAAAAACTTATGCATTAATCATCCGTAAGGTATTTGTTTCGTGAAGCTTCTCTTGTCACTATCGCCGTTTTCTATGTAAATGCGTATCCTTGTCTTTTCATTAATAAAATTATCGTAAACCCTTGGGAGTCTATTGTATCCTTTCTGCTATACATTCACAACAGCAATGTGAACATTAACAGCGCCATCTATCGACAAATTTTGAAATTATTTTTTTCCTTTGCCAAGCAGAATTCCATTAACCCAGGATTGTTCTGGTAAAATATCAAGTCATTCTGACCTGCAGAGTTTTAAAGTTAGAGCGTTTTGAAATCACAACTTTAATTATAATCACCCTGTACTATTTCCTCCAGTACATTTTCTCTTCACTTGATCGGCACAATTTTTAGCTTTAAATGTCTTTTTTTACCTCCATTTTTGACGCTATTGGAGCTTCTATTTCTGCACTTAATGTAGATTACTAATGTCATCATCAGAGTTTGAGGTTTCCCATTATTGCTGCGAAAAGATTTATTCTAATTTATTTAGCGATTATATCTGGTTGCACAAAATGGAGAATTATGGCCTTTAGTACTGCAAGATTAACATACAGTTTTTCTAATCTCTCTCAATGCTTCAAATTTCATGGATTGAGTAACTGATGGTGTTTGAAATTTTTTATTCTTAATTCCATCTTTAATGACGTGATGAGTTTTGTCTTGGAGGTGAAGGTAATCCCATTTCTCCGTATACTTCTGTTTTGAAATTGTTCCAGTTACTCTTTTATAGCTTGCTTGAATACCTTCATAAAATCTGCCTGCTAATTGCGTAGGGAGAATTACCTTCATTCATTCATAACGAAAATTCTCCCGAACTTCTCTAAGCACTTGCTTTTCAGCTGGATCAGTTATAGTTAAATCTTTCAAAATTCTTAAGTCCATCACTCCATTCTTGGAAATAATTCTTTATTTCGTAAATAAAGCCTCGCCTTGATTTTTCGGGACTTTTCTGGTACTGAACCAATTTTTCTGAAGCTAATATACTTTATATATACATATATCAAAACTGTCATAGGATTCCCTTTCTATGGGTTATGTTATGAGTAAACTTGACACCCAGTTTCTCATATCCACCCGAATCCTTTTCTCTTGCCTCTTAAATAATGATGAATAGAGTACAGTATTGCCATCTGTTAAGGCGAATTAAGGCGTCATATTTATCAGTTTGTGGTAGGAATGCGCTGCACTTTGTTAAAGGGAAGATTATATTTTTCTGATCTTCTATTCTCAGTTTTTAAAAATCGAATTCCTTATTTATTCACTCTTTCTTCTCTTTAGCTTGCAGTTTCATTCGCGTTTTGGTTTCTTTAGCTTGAAGTTCCTATTCAATATTTTGTTTAGTGTTTCTTTCTTTTTTAAGTCGATTATTAATATTTTTTTCTATGAGATTTTTAAAAATTTCTTCCTGATATGATTCAGTTTTTGTTATTAAGTTTC